GACGGACAGCCGGGAGATTTGCCTTCAGATAAAACCTTACAGATGTGGAGGTCGGTATTGATTTTGAGTTAGTAACGGTAACGTACCAAGAAGTAATACATTAGCGAAAGCAAGGTCACCGGGAAAAAGTAAAACCCACCAGGGAGAGGCCTGAACATTCTTGAGGGGGGTGGTAGATTACCGCATCAGACCCGGACTTCCTCAAGTTCAAAAGTTTGCAGGCTCCAGACCTCGGCTAGGCCCCTAACGGTGGGCAAACGCTTTCTGCTTCTGCGGGCAAAGAGGGACTCCGGGAAGGCCCTGGGCTGTGGGGCTGCTGAGGGGGCTCTCTCCGTTCTCTCCAGCACTGCCTGCTGTGGGAAAGGCACAGCCTAGAGGTCAGGGAGACCCCGGTTCAAATCCCAGCTCTGCCACTTACTGGTTGTGTTATCATGGATGGGCCTTTCTCCCTCCCCAACTGCAAAATGAGGGCAATGATAGTCTATTTCCATGAGGAGTCACTGCTCCCAAGTCCCCCCTCTTCAGCTGGGTCCTGTCCTGTCTGCTTGGAAGCTGCCATGCCCAAGAGGGGGCTGGATGAGAGGGAAGCCCTTTGATCTACAGGCCTCCAGGGACTCTGGGAGAGAACAGGCAGATGCCGCCCCTCCCCCATTCACACCTACCCCAGATGTGAATTTGATTTGATGTTCCAGGGCAAATCCCATTGAACAAATCTCATTACAGTAAGAGCTCCCTGGGCTAGAGCTGATTCCGAGCTGTCTGTTGCTGGCCCAGGGTCCGAGGCCTCCTGAGCCACTGGGCACCACACTAGTCCCTCTGACGAAGGATCCTGGGAGGCCTTGCAGCGCTCAGGGGCTCGGGGTTTCCTCTCACAACACTGACCTTCTTCTTATTCTTTTAACTCGCTGGGCATGTGCCCACCTCAGGGCCTTTGCACTTGCTGATGCCGCTGCCTGGAAAGCTGTCTGCTACATCTTCTCATGCCGGTTCCTTTTTGGCCTTGCTATCACCTTTTTGGGGGCGATCTTGCCTGACTGCTCCACATACCCCCTCCCTTATTTCCTCCATAGCACTTACCAGTATTGCAAATTCTATGACTTACTTGTTTGTTGTCAGCCTCTTCATTAAACTGGCAACTCTAGGAGAGCATGGAGTTGCTAAAGCTCACTGCTGCATCTCAGGGGCTGGCACATAGTAGGTGCATCTCAGGGCCTGGCGCATAGTAGGTGCTCACTAAATATGCGGGATGTGACTATGCATGAATTCCACAGGCTTCTTCTGAGCTCATAGTATGTAACGGACACAATGTAGGCACTGGGTCCACAAAGATGGACGAAATGCAGCTTCATCCCGTCCTCAAGGAGTCACAGTGCAGTCCTCCCTCCGGCCTGGCAGGGGCAGCGCTCTGTGAAATGCTTGTGGAGTGACTAAAAGATGTCCTTAGCAAACACCACAGCTTGGTGTGGCTGGGATTTCAAGTGCAAGGAAGGAAAAGGCAGGGAGGAGTTGGGACAGGCAGGTAGCGGTCAGAGCACAAGAAACCTTTGCCCTGTTTGCCTGGAAGGCACTGAAAAGCTACCGGTGATGTGTGAGTGACATAAGCAATGTGGTCAGCTGATGGTCCCGTCCTGCAGTGTAAGTGGCTCTGTGTACAGTTCCCATCTCATCCCCAGACCACCCCCGTCCTCTCTCTACTCTCCCCCCATCCCATGTCTCTTCCGTGCCTCGTAGTGACATCCAGGAGGAAGGGATTAGCTCACCTGAGCTGACACACCCTCCCGAGAGGCTCCCGCCCCCCAGGGAAATGGGCGTGTGCTTCCCCTGAGCCTGAGTCTGTTCTGGGGCCCAGGCCTCCTCGGAGGAAGGGGCATGGGTAGTGATTGCATGGGGTGGGGAATAGGATGGGGGTGATTTTCTTAATTTAGTTGGAAAGTGAGGTCTAGGCAGGAACTTGGAAGAGAATGGGGTCTCCTAACTCCCAGGGCATCATGAGATTCCTGAGTTTTCCCAGAGAAACCCCTGCCCCCATTCACACAGCATATATCTCAGGTCCAGGAGGCCCCATCTCCACAGTCAGAAGGCAGCAAGCACAACCCGGTGAGGTCTGACGTCCTCACACCCTCACTATGGGGACCCCCTTTTCCAGGGCCCCTCTAGCCACCACCCCAGCACCCTGTGTGCCCCCCCATTGACAGAGGCCTTAGAAGCGCATTCAGTGCAGAGAGAATCGGGGAGACCTCCGCTCCCTAAAACAGTGCTGCTACACAAAGTCGCCCCGACACCTCCCGCCCAGATTCCCCTCTCACCTGTGGTGCCCTGTGTCTTTGCCATCTCAGTGGGTGACACACCATGAAGACCCACCTAAATCCCTCCAGCTGCGGTGGAGACAGACCAGCCCAGCAGGCCCACTTCCCGTCTCACAGTCCCGTGCCCTGTGTCTTTGCCATCTCATGAAGACCCACCTAAATCCTTCCAGCTGCGGTGGAGACAGACCAGCCCAGCAGGCCCATGCCCTGGCCTCTGGCTCTGGGAAGGGGTGGGGGGAGGTAAAGGACAGAGGAGAGATGCCCCAGGGCTGAGGGAGGTGTGTTGGGAGCACTGAGGGAAGAGTCAGGGATGAGGGACCCCCACCCCCGCCGGTAGCTGCTGGCTGGTCCCCGGAGTAAGAGCCTCTGGAGGGGTCAGGTGCCTGAAACGTCCTTGAGAGTCCGTCTCGGCATTATCAGGCGAGCAGGCAGGGTCCGGCCGGCTGGACTGGCTGTGAGATCTGGGGAAGCCCCAGCCCTTCGTGGGCCTCGGTTTTGTCATCTGAGAAATGGGCGTCATAGCTCTGCCCCACACGTCTCTGTAGGCCTCTGGATCCGGGGAGTCACATAAGTTGGTGGCTGAGAGGAGGGACAGTGAAGGAAGTGGGAAGAAGAGGGTCCGAGGAGCCGGGGCCGCTGATGTCTCAGCGCCTGCGCCGCGCCAGGCTGGGCTCCGCTCGGCCTCCAGCGCCCTCTAAGTCAGGTTCATCGTCAACTCTTTTCCTCGGGATGGGCTGGTCACAGAAGGTAAGGGACACACAGCCAGAAAGTGGAGGAGCTCCGTGCCTGGCCCTGGCCTCAGGGTGCAGATCCTGGCCAGGCCCCCATGCCTATGGCCGGGACAAGTCAAAAGTGAGAAGGCAGACATTGTCAGGATGCCACAGGTCATGGCTCCGATGCCCAGAGCCCACCATCTCCCAGGAGGTGGGAGGGGAAGTCAGAGAACACAGCCACGTGCCCAGTGTGGATGGCAGCGGGATTCTTTATCTCGGTGTTGGGCAGACCATCAACAAGCCTGACCCCACCTGGCACTTGGCCTCCCTCCCATAAGGGGTGGCATTAGCAGGAGGCTACCAGGGTCCTGGCCCTGAGGTCAGACCCACAAAGGTCTGCCTCCCCCCCACCCCCTCCCCTGGGCTGACTAGGCGCCGTGCTCTCTCCCACTGCAGGAATCCTGCTGCCCGCACCCCCTCTCCCCGCTCTCTCCTGGACAGCTGGACGCAGGTGTCACCTCCTCCAGATTCTTTCCTGGGCCCCCTGGACGGCCGGGTGCCCTCCCCTGGGCTCTCACAGCCCCTGAGCTGCCTCTGTAACAACCCTCATCACTCCACATCTTGATGATCTGTTGCTAGGTGCCCCCTCCCCCAGACCCAAACACTCTCCCAGCTGAGGGCTGGAGCCATGGCTCTTCCTCCTCTGAGGTCCCAGGCTCAGCCTCAGTTCTGGGGTCATAGTCACCTTCAGTGTGTGTTTGTTGAATGAGTAAGTGAACACATCAATGAGTTAAGTGATGAATAAGTGAACACACACCATCTTGAAGCGGAGTTTCTAGAAAGGAGCCTGCTTTAGTTCTGGTGTCATAGTCACCTTCAGTGTGTGTTTGTTGAATGAATAAGTGAACACACCAATGAGTTAACACCATCTTGAAGCGGAGTTTCTAGAAAGGAGCCTGCCCCTGACAGTCCGAGTTGGCAGCGCTGATGGTGAGAACTGTTTGCTGAACCGGCTCCTCGGGGAAGTGGGTGATGGCCACAGACATGCAGGAGCTGCCGGAACCGAAGAGAGGTTCCGGGCAGGCTACGGTGTCGTACCTTCCCAAGAGGTCACCAGGTCCTGACCAAAGTCAAGAGCATAGCACAGGATGAGGGGTGAAGCCAGACAGGCCCAGAGTCCTGCTGAAACCCCTTTGTGCTGGAAGATGGGAGCATCCCAGTCTGACGGGGGAGGCACAGGTCCCTGTCTGATAGGAGAGACGTAATCAGCGTGTTTGTTCATTCATTCATGCATGCGCTGTGCATTCACTTATTCAGTCAGGCCTGGGGCTAGAGCGGTGAACAGGCCCGCCTCACCCCCAGAGCTCTCAGTGGAGGACGCCTCCAGGGGTCAGGGCCTAACCAGGAGGAACCGCTAACCATCTTACCCTCAAGGGCAAGCCCACAGGTCAACGGATCTCCAAGCTGCAGGGACCCTAAGGGAGAGACTGCAGCAAAGGCCTGCCCACGCCAGCCTGGCATCGTCCCCGCACGCGCTTGCCTCTGCGGGGTCCTTCCAGCCCCACCCCTGCTGCTCAGCCCACACGATGGTCTCTCCCCACAGGTGATGAGCATTCTGAGCAACCCCAGCGCGGTGCCGCCACAGCCGCAGGCCGACTTCTCCATCTCCCCGCTGCACGGCGGCCTGGACTCGGCCTCCTCCATCTCGGCCAGCTGCAGCCAGCGGGCGGACTCCATCAAGCCAGGGGACAGCCTGCCCACCTCCCAGTCCTACTGCCCACCCACCTACAGCACCACCGGCTACAGCGTGGACCCCGTGGCTGGCTACCAGTACGGCCAGTACGGCCAGAGTGAGTGCCCGGCACCCCGCATCCCCCCTCCCTGCCCCCTGCTCATTTGTAGAGAGCTGGAAGGTGGTGTTGGGGGGGAGGTGCCCATTTCACAGATGAGGAAATTGAGGTCCAGAAAGGAGGAACAGCTGTTCTAAGATGATGCTGAGCTGGGCCCCTGCTACTGCTGCTGCCTTGGAGAAAAGCTGTCCCACAGAAATAGTATCAAACAAGCCATAAATGTCATTTAAAATGTCCAAGGAGCCACATTATAAAATGGGAGAACAGCAAATTATTTTTGCTAACATATTTTATTTTACCCATTCTAGCCAAAAGATGATCATTTCAACATGTAGTCCATATAAAATTATCAATGAGCTATTTTACATTCTTTTCTTCATACTGTCTTTGAAATCCAGCCCATTTTCATTCAGACGCGAAGTTTCACGGGGAACGCTAGACCCGCATTGAAATTTCACAGCATTGACAACTGAGAAAGTTGTAGGCTTACACACCCAAGTTGTTCCAAATCTACTGCAAAGTTTCCCGGCCACTAAACTAAATTGAATTTCGGTTTTTAAAGTTCAATGAGGTAAAATCAAATCAAAATGTAAAGTCTGGTTCCTCGGTGGCACTGGCCACACTTCAGGGGCTCCATCGCCGCACGTGGCTGGTGACTGCCGGTGGGACAGTGAGATGGTGGGGCTCTGCCCCTTCTGCCCCCTGGCCACAGGGACAGCTGTCCTTTGAGCTCTCTCCTCTACCCCCCTCCTCAGCCTTGGTTTCCCCAAACGTTGAGCTGGCCTCACAGGCCCAGCCCAGTCGCCATCCCCTTGGCACCTTGCCTGGGGGAGGGCATGGCAGATCCTCAGACCAAAGGCTGCAGAAGGCGGGCCCAGCCACAGCCTCCAGCCGCTGGGCAGGGCAGCAGCAGGGAGGGCCAAGGGGGCACGGGGAGCCGAGGTCACTGGCTGCCCCTCCTGCCCCACCTCCCGGCAAAGGCCTCACCTGCTGGTGTCAAACTAATCAGAAGGGCAAGTGGCGAGAGGGTGAGACCTCCCAGCCCGAGGATGTCCTCACACCCCCGCCCCGCAACAGCCCTGGCCTGGCCTCACTGACCTCTGCTTCCTGTCCCCACACCAGCCCTCTCCTCCTCATACGGCCTTGGCCTCCACGGCTAAATGAGGGCCAGCTGTGCTGCCTCCACCTCCCAGCTGTGTTCACGGCTTCCCCTGTATGTGCATGTTTGGATATGATATATGTGCACGCCGGTATATGCATGAGTGTGAATACATGTTTTGGATGTGTTACAATTCAGGTGTGTGTGTGTCTGTGTGTGTATTTGTGAGTATCCCGGCATACAAGTGTTAGTGCACACATCCTTGTGCATAGGTGAGTATGTGTATGTGTGTGGCACATGTGGGTATATGTGCACATGACTATTCACATACATGTGAGTTTAAATGAGCATACTGTGCACACATGGTATGTGTTTTTATGCAGATGCACACGTGCACAATGTTTGGTCATGTAAACATACGTGGCTGTAACACATATACCTGTGTTTAAGTGTGCATTCAGGTGTGTTCATGTGGCTGTGTCTGTGTATGTGCCTGTGTGTTTGACATCTATAGTGTGCATATGTTATTGTGTGGACATGTATAAATATGTGTGCAGATGTGTGTGAGTGTGTAACTATATGTACATGTGTATACACATGCTCAAGTGTGTGTGCATTTGGGAGTATTTACGGCACATGTAGATGAAGTGTGCCGGGTATAAATATGAGTGCATGTGTACTTGAGTGTCTGCATAGGAGTGCTGTGTGCTCCTGTGTGTAGTTGTGCATCTGGGCTTGTACACATGATGTCTGTGTGTATCACTGTGTCTGTGTGAGAGTGTGTGCATGGGGAGCAAGTGTGTGCGGGTGTATAACGTGTGTGCATGTATGTTTGAGAGCAGGGTGCACACATGTGCATGGGGGTGTTTCCAGAGGAACAAGGGCGACCCCTGCCCCAGCCCCTGTGCCCAGGGAACTGAGTGGGACACATGCTCTTGATAAAGAGTTTAGAGCCCTGGCCTGGGGCAGGCGTTAGTCACACCCAGAGCCCCGTGCCTGACTCCAGGGGCGCCTGCCCAACTCGGAAATAAAATTAACCCCAGAGTCAGCACGGGGGGTGGGGGGGTGACAAGGGAGGGGGGATCAAAAGGGAAAGGGCCCAGGAGGCGAGAAAGGAGTGTTTGTTCCCCCTCTGCTCCTAGAAACTGGCTGGAGCAATTTCTTCCTTTCCCTCCTTCCTCCTCCTCCCTCCCCCCCTCCTCCTTCACTCTCCCTCCTCCTCCTTCCCTCTCTTGTCCTCCCAGGCCCCTCTAGCTCCACCCCTGAACCCTGGCTCCTCCAGGGGTAGCTCAGAGCTCCTCCTGAGTCACATTCTCCAGCCCAACTCCAGGGAATCGGAGCACAAGACCCCACCCCACAGAGGCTCCAGGTTGGGCTGGGAGGGGCCTGCGGGAACGTCTGCCCCTCTCGCACCATTAGAGTGGGCAAGGCACCCTGCTTCTCTGAGCCTCAGTTTTGCCATCTGAAATGGGGGCCTGGGGATTAGACTTAGTCTTTTCAAAGTTTGTCCATGGTAGTATCTCCCTCACCTATGACATCCTGGGACCACTGAGGTATGCACTGTGTCCTCACTGACCACCTGCCCCATGCTCATGGGCAACCAAATCCACCCATGACTGGGCTCCCACGGTCCATAGGCGAAAGTCGCATGTCCCAGACCGGCTGTGTATGCCCAGGTCCAGCCTGTCATCTGCTCACATCTGTCCCCTGCCTGAGTTTCAGCCAACCAGGCACGGGGGGAAATGCATGGTCCTCACCCCACCCAAGGTAGATGTCATTTGTCCTCAGGTTACAGACACAAAGCTAAGGCTCAGAGAGGCTAGGAACTTCCCCCAGGTCACACCGTAGGCGAATGGGGGACTCCGGGTCTCCTAACTTCAAAGCCAGTTCTCTCTGGCCAAACCCAGACTTGGTCTAAGACACCTAATGATACACACCTAGACCCACCTGTGTGTGGATTGACGTTCACAACTTCACACCCACCTATGCACGCTCAGAGGCACGCGCACACAGATTCACTTTGATGGGAGTTTTCACTAATAGGTGTGTGTACATACGAAAATGTGTGTGTGTGAAGGAGGGAAGGAGAAATGACCACTTACTGAGCATCTACTACGGGCCGGGCATTTCATGCTCATGGCCACCCTGTGTAGTGCGCATGGTTATTCCACGGGGCAGATGAGGCAGTGGGATCCCGAGAGGTTGTTTGCCCGAGATCACATAGCGCATACCCGTGTGTACACAGCCCCACAATAGCCCCGCCCTGGAGAGCCTCGCCTTCAGGTGTGCATGGCGTGCACACGTGGCCAAACGCTTAAACAGCAGAGTACACCTCCTCTTCCTGGGCCTGGCGCCTTCCCAGGGACATCTCCACACCTTCCTCTCCTGCCCCTGGCTGTTGTCTGTCCATCTGTCTTTCTCTCCTGTCCCTG